ATTGTTTGCAAGTGGTTTGGGCTTGGATTGGGATTGTTGTGTAATCTGAGTCCAGACTTTGTTTAGTGTGAATTATTGAACATGTGTGGTGGTTTCAGTTTTTTTGCGTTGGTGTTTGTCTGTGCTGATGTATGACAGTGGCATGTATCATGCGTTACTGCCTGCTGTATTCCTGCCTCCACTTATTGATGACTGCTGTCTTCTATCTCTTTCTATTCCCTAGTTGCATATCCATTCTTGTTTTTTGTTTTTTCTTCATTTTATCTTAGCCTCCAAACCATCGGAGCTAATTTTCCATTGATTTTTTTCCCCCCCATGCCCCTCATATTTCATGTATATGATGTGTTTGCTATTACCGGTATACTCCCTCTGTTCCTAAGTGCTGCAGAAGAAGAAAATGGTTAGCAAAAGGGAAAGCAACAGAGGAGGGTGGAGAGAGGCGCGGCTCATAGTTGTGGCCGGCTAATTGAAAGCTCTTTGACCAGTGAAGTCCCAGCCTTAAGGGAGGGGTCAGGAATTTGCTATTCTTTTTTTTTTTTGGCTTGTTTGTTTGTGTTGATATAAGGGGCAGGTCACATTTGTGTCAACCTACACATCCTTGGCCTTCATGGTTGGCAGATTATGCTTGTTGTTAGCTTAATTTGTCGAATTCCTTCTATACATGCAAGAAAACGCCTTTCCCCAAATGTCTTAGAAGTCCTCTTTTTTTTAAATTCTTCCCTCTTCGACCTTGTTTTATATTTGACCCATCAGCTGTGGTGCTCTGTCTGTTCTCAAACGCATCAAAACAGAAGTGACAAGAGGATGTAGTGAGCAGTAAAAAACAGAGAACTGGAGGAAACCCTTTTTTTTTTTTCCTCTCACAAATGACATTGGAGGACAGGATATCATTTTCATGCGTGTGCCCAACGAGACTAAAATATGCCTCATGCTTAGAGGCTCTGTGAGGCCTCGGTTTGGGACTCTGGTGTCTTGAACTAATTTCCAACATCATCTGGCCACATGCTCACAAAACAAAATAGCCTGTATGACTTTTAACATACTTGCTGTCTTAATTTAGCATTTTGCCATGATAATGCATTTTAGCCACAATTGAAATGAATAATTTTAGTGCAATTGATGCTTTACAATTTATTCAAAAAGAGTTGAATGCTGAATCTATATGTACAAAATAAAGCAGTGACTGTCGGGTTTTTTGATTTAACAAGACTTAACTAATCTGTATGTTAAGCCTCGCCCTAAGGGTTGACTTTGTGCTGTAACTGCAGGCGTCTGGCCCATTTGGTGATCGGGGTCAGAGGTCAAGGAGTCAGTGGTCTCCACAGGAAAGGCTACTCATGCAGAACAACACATTGTAAACAAACCATTAAACACCATCTGCAGCGGCGTCAAATGCCCATGAGTGTTGTTTGTGGGAATGTTTGCGTAGTCCTGTGCTAGTTGCTTTGTGACCCCACCCTTGAAGAACGAGGATCAATACAACCAACAGAGACAAAAAGGTGACCATCTGTTGCCTACTGGTGCATTAAATCACCTGCTGAAAGCTCCCATCAGCATTATGCATACACAGTGCTGTTAAATGCAACTCTGGAAATATTTGAGCACTTAAACATTTTACTGAAAGATACGAAGTCCAAGGTTTTTAATTAAAACAAGCACAGTGTAAACGTTAAGCTTTGGTTTGTGGGTGTTTGCATAAAACAGGAGAAAGCCTTTAGAGAATTTAGATTTCTACTTTTTAGAAAAATAATTACATAAAGTTTCTTTTTGCTGCTCCTTTATACAGGGGTTGCCACAGCGAGCAAACTCGCATGAAAGGTACAATTGTTTTACACCGGATGCCCTTCCTGACACAACCTGGGCTCGAACCCGCAACCTCACGATTACAAGACCACGGCACTGACCTACTTTTTGTAAATGTACAATCATAAACTGTATTTATCCATTCGCTCAAACTGCAGAAACAGAAAGTCACTGTTGGATGAGGTGAATCGGCCTGCAGGTCACTGAAGGTTCTGTAACCGTAAATGAAGAACCAGAAATAACCGGATTTGCCTGATAGTCCAATTTTAAAATAAACAATCCTGTCTTCATAAATCCATAACTCTTCTTTGTTTCTGTGAGAAAATGACTCTCCCAGATGTCTCCACATCTGTTCATTTATTAAGTGTGATGCTTCACCACCTTGGCAGCTGATGTGCATGCAGCAGACAACTTGTTTCATGTTAGACTTCTTTCCTCTACACATGTCTCTCAGCCTTGACCTTTTCACTCTGTCAACCTGTCCACACCTTCCCCTCTAATCCCCCTCACGCCCCCCTCTTCTTGTTTTCTCTGACAGCATCACATCTCTTCTGGGTCCCTGCCTGATCCCCCCCCCCCCCCCCCACACACACACACACAAACAACATGCAGGCAGTCGTCCTCTCTGGCAGTACCCACTGGTCCAACACCTGCCACTCTGAACACACACTGTGAGTGTGGTTGTTTATCTGTGCCTGTGCGTAGTTGTTGAAAGGTCATGCAAAGTTGTTTGGTGTGTTTGTCACGCATACGTCGCTGGAGTGAAAGTGTCAGCTTGCTGCACTGTCTAAGCCTCACCAACAGTCCGACACGTGGATTATAGTCAGATTTAGGCTGCTCCAACTCTATTCTGAGATGCCCAGAAGGAGAAGCCTGTTAATTTAGCTGCTATAAATATAACACATCCTCCCAGCAGGTCACTCTAAAGCTGGACTCATGCTCCGCTAGCAGTGAAGAAGTCTGCTCTTGCATATGCACATGTGAGATGTTCTTTCATCCGTCATGAAAACTGCTGCACAGAACTGTTGGAATGCTCCTCTTTTTCCCAGTACAGTAGTCCCTTGTTGATCACCGAGGAGCCGAACCCTGAAGCCCCGCGATAAGTGAAAAACCGCAAAGTAGAAATGGTGTAAGAGTGAAAATTACAGTAGTACAAGTAGTAAGTCGTAGTTTAGTAGTTTATTTGAGTATATATATATATATATGTATATATTTATATAGATATATATATAGATATATATATATAGATATATATATATAGATATATATATATAGATATATATATATAGATATATATATATATAGATATATATATATAGATAGATAGATATATAGATAGATAGATATATAGATAGATATAGATAGATAGATATAGATATATATAGATATAGATAGATAGATATAGATATATATATATAAATGCATTTAAAACCCTTCCCACACTCTTGCAATATTCTAAACAATGTTTCTAAGCTCTAAAGTCTAAAAGAGCATATAATGTCATGATTTCAGCTCCCTGCCTCATCTGCTCTTTGCCACCTGCAAGCCCTCTCAGCCACGCCCACTTCTCCTCTCTGCACGGAGGTCAGCTGATCAGCTGCAGAGGAAGTTTCTCATGCAGTGTGGGCTGCACAGAGGTGCTAAATAATTTAAAATAATTTATTTTAAATAAAAATTCCATGCCGATCGTGCGGCTCATCCATCAGTCAGCCAACTGTGTGTCATGTCCAATCTTAGTTTGACAAACCGCGATAGAGTGATTCCGTGATAAACGAACTGCGAAGTAGCGAGGGAGTACTGTATTGCTTTTAAAAACATGACGTTTACCTTTGGCATGTCAAGCAACATGAAAATCATGTTGGATTAAAAAAAAAAACAGCTGCAGATCTGCATCTTTTTTTCTTCCTCTGGACCATTTTCAGTTTAAATGGCTGTTAACATAGAAAATAAACAAGTAAATCAACTTATAAAAAATATACATTTGAGCTTGGAAACAGAATTCTCCAATTATAAAACTGAGAAGTTAACAGCAACATTTATACTGAACACCGTGGTACTTTGTTTTACCTCAATGTATGTTTTTGTAAATGACTCTGGTCATTGCCTTCATTATATTTGACATAATTTGCTGACTTGGGCTGTAGTGTGTATGCAGTATCAATTACCATATTCTTCAGACTATAAGGTGCAATATCAATGAACGGGTCTGTTTTCATAGATTTTTGAGCACCGTGTACCACATAAAATCTGTTCGAGGTCAGTAAGCACAGAATTAATACATAAAATGCACCGGATTATAAGGCTCACTGTTGATTTTTGAGAAAATTAAAGTATTTTAAGTGCACCTTATAGTCTGAAAAATACGGTACTTCTCCAAAGACTTTGGAGAAAACTTCCTAAGTATTGTTTTGGTTGTTCTGACTGTAGACATTATAAATGGATCCATGTGGGATTTATAGAGCAGCCGCCACTGTGCAGAATTAAGTTAGTTGTATTCCAGAAAAAAAAAAAAAAAGAAGAAGAATGGGATAAAACCTTATTTTGAAGTCTAATGCATCCAAGTATCTAATAGCAAGATGTTTTTTTATGTTGAAAAATCTTGATTCATCTTCTGCTGAGTTTCTGCTCAGAGCAGAACAAATGAGAGTGAAGGCTGCAGGAAATGAAAAATGAATGTTTTAAAAAAACTTATGAATTAGTCAAAGATGGAGGGGGTAATGTATAACAAATATTGAAGTGGAGTAGGAAAAATATGCTAATTTTTTGACTGGGGAAAAAGGCAACAGGAGATTAGTTTACTCTGGCAAATTTCTCACTGGAGAAGACAAACGGACAAAATCCATCAGTGTGAAGCTTCAGGTCCTAAACTCAAAAAAAAAAAATGTTTTATTTTCTGTCTGAAGAAGACTATTTGCCAAATGCTTAACGGCTTTACCTTTGCCTGCTCTTTGTTTGATTCCTTTCGATTTCATCTTGCCCTTGTGAATCATGGGATTTATTCTGTCCACAGTTCAGGTCTTGGACACAGCGTGTTTGTATTTGCTGACAGAGTGAAGCTTACTGTTTAAACTGCAGCGCCAGAACCAGATGTCTCATTGATGCATCACTGGAAATCCATTCATTTATCCCTTCTGGTTATCCACTCTTCAATTTGCATCTTTAACCTCTTGCGTTGTCCGTCCGTCTTGTCCTTGCAGGACAGTGATATTCAGAAGAAGATTGACCATGAGATCCGGATGCGAGACGGAGCCTGCAAGCTGCTGGCTGCCTGCTCGCAAAGAGAACAAGCTTTGGAGGCGGCGAAGAGCCTGCAGACGTGCAGCACTCGCATCATGGCCTACATGTCGGAGCTGCAGAGGATGAAGGAGGCTCAGGTGATGCAGAACGCCCCACGCAGATCGTCGGACGCAGGGCCGATGGACGACAGGCTCCCGTGCAAGGGAACAGTCGCCATCTCAGGTATGTAAGGAAAAATGGTTGTTTGTGAAAAGTAAATGGATGAGTAGCATTTGTCTTTGTGAGTTGAGGTTTATGAGGCGCTCAGCTGCATATCTGCTACACATCTGCAGACCACATACACACATACACTGTTTGTAATTAATTGTAGATAACTTACGCCAGTGACTGAAAGCTGTGTGTCAGTTGGAGGTGATTTACATTTCTGTGGTCTAATCTTCTGTCTGTTGTATTTCCAGACCTTCGGATCCCTCTCATGTGGAAAGACACGGAGTACTTCAAGAACAAAGGAGGTGAAGAGCCACTGTGTGTGTGTTTGTGTTCACAGGATGACTTGATAATGTTGAGTGTTAGGGGAAAGTGGTCTGTTGGTGTCTAGTGTGACTCGAGAACAAAAACCAACTTTCATCACTTTCTCTAAAGCAGAGGTCTGAAACCTCTACGATCAAAAGAGCCATTTTTATGCCTTCGTTCACTACATTCAACGTGTCCGGAGCCACAACAACCTGCTACAACTGTGCTTATCAACTGGTGGCCCGTGAGCCACTTTAGGTTTGCTGGAGTGGGCTTATGATGTCACCCCTTTTAGTAGGGGTGACTTAGCTAAAAATATCAAACAATTTCTAACATTTATTAAAGAAAAATACAAGATTCTTGTAAAAAGGAGTGGAAAATAGTTTATTTTTACCAATTTTTTTTAAATAAATAAAAAAACTATAAACTATGACAAGTTTTTCATATATATATATATATATATATATATATATATAAATGCATAAAGTTACTCGCTCCAGTGCTCACATATTTGCAAAAGAAATGACAGGAAAACAGCTAAAACTAGTCCTTTTGTGTTGTTTGTATAACTATCATGTTCTGTGGAGTCTGAACCCAAGGTGCAGACAGACACGGGGAACTCCAAGATAAAATAAAGAATTCAAATTTAAAAACGATAGGTCAAAAACAAAGGATGACGCAGCAGCAGAGCTTACATAAATATTGAACTCGAAGGAGACACGGCAGAACAGGGCATGAATAGGAAGCACAATGCACGGACAAGCAGTTAAAAAAAAAAAAGACGCTGAACTTAAAGGGACACTACAGAAACGTAATGATGGACACCTGGGGTGAATGGGATCGGGAGCAGGTGAAACAAGGAGCTGATACATGAAGGGAAAAACACTGGGGAAGACACGGGAACATGAAACACACAAATCTAAAGAAAGAACACAAATTCTCACAGTAACGAATGATAAATTTCAGTTTTAGGTCAGTTTTGGTCAAAGCTTGTAAGAGCCACCAGAGGGACCAAAGTGCCGCATGTGGCTCCAGAGCCACAGGTTGCAGACCTCTAGTGTGTTCCTTTAACATGATATTAACCTCAGACTCCAGCTGACGTGCAGAACGTCTAGACAGACCTTTTTTTTTCCAGTATCAGTTCCAGGAACTGATCTTTATCATCTGTTGCAGCTTTACCATGGATTTCTGCATTTTACTCCTGTTGTCTTTTAGCCACGTGACACAGCCTGATCTAATAATTCAGTTTTGCTAGCTTTGCATCTTAGCTCTAAGAAGCAGCACTGAATGGGGTCATCAATCATGCAGAGGGTGTAACAAGAGGCAAGCAAAATCTGTTGTGTATTTAACGAACCCTTCTCTACGTTCTTGTGGAAAGTTACTCTATCGAGTCTTGTTCCATTTTCTTTCATTTTAGAATTCAGTGATAAAATGACAAATTTTCTGACTGCCTTTATCTTCCTCACCAATTGGATAAAGTCAACTCCTGTGCGGCCATTTTTAATATTCTCGGTGCTCAGTCACTCCCCTAGCAGCCTGAATTAATCTGCATAGCCTAAGCATAAAAATGTACTCAAGAAACATGAGAAATATTTGCAATAAAGCACAAGGAAGCAGCTTGTTATAATACTTTTACAGACGTACTGCAGTATTTTTATTGGCAGATGGATTTGTGAGAACAGTAGTACCTTAAAGGGAAGTTTCCTTAATTCATGTATATTCCCTAATTTAATTTAGTTTAAAAGTATGAGATGTTGTTGGGCTTTAGTTTATGCAACAAATTGCCAATTAGCAGTGTTGTGTGATTCTCAGCACACCGCCCACTGAACTGAATCTAACGGTGACGGAGGAGTTTATAAGCATGTGCAGCTGCTGGTTTTCTGTCATGCTTCACCTGCTCAGGTTAAACGTCCCGTCTACATCAGCCTCTGGCTTCAGCACTTTCTTAGAACTTCCATCCTTCAGAAAGAAAGTGATGCTATTTTGGAGCTGCAAATTATTTTTCAAGTCATGCAGCTGAACGAGCTTTCGAACTGTCACATAAATCCATTTCTTTCACATTTCTCATTTTGTTCAAAGTCCCCTCATTTTTATTTTTTGTCTCTTGTTTTGTAGAGCTTCATCGGTGTGCTGTGTTCTGCCTGCTGCAGCTCGGAGGAGAGATCTTTGACACAGACATGGTGATAGTGGACCGAACACTCACAGATATTTGCTTTGACAACACAATCGTATTGTAAGTAATCAGTCGTTACTGTTCATAACCTATCAGCAGTGGTGGTTCGAGCATTCGATGTAAAATATGCTGTTGAATGAAACGTATCGCAAAGTTGAACATAAACACGAAATAAAACGCAGTCAAAGGGACAAGGTTATCCGTCTGATAATTGGAACGAAAATGTGTATTCAGTTCTGTTAAAGCATGCAAGTCTCACAGACCAGGGGCGATTCTGGACTCTGACCTTTAGGGGTGCTTAGCCCCCAGTGCTGGCAATGGCTCTTGGCTTTAACAACGTGGTAGCCATTAGTGTCAGAAGCATTTGTAATCTAGGGACACACACACACACACTGGGTGGGGGTCTGGGGATCCTCCCCAAATTTTTTTGAATAAAGTAGATGCTAGTTCCTGCATTCTGGTGTGTTTTAACGAGTTGTTAAACATTACATTTACCTACATAAGTTAACACTTGATTCAACAACAAGAAGAAGCCTGACCAACAGCTCCCCTTGTGTGAATAGAGCACGCTCCACTTTTCTCAAGCACCCTAACACCCCCCTCCAGCCCCAATTGACAACTGTATTATGGCGCACAATACAGACACGTTAGCTAAGATGCTACAGACATAGCACTCCACTTCTCTCATTCCTCCTTCAGGACAAATTGAGATCGCTGATTGGTCAGCTGCTGACGAGCCTACTGGAGTGATTGACAGGTGGCGTTGAAAATCTGACTCGTGCAAAAAAAACTAAAAAACAGATTTTACTGGCCCAATTAAGAGTGTCATCATTTATTCCATTTTATTGCTAATTTATTCAGTATTTTGGTGAATCTAAGGTTTGAGAACCGAGTTTCCTTACAAAATTCTAAACATGGAATCTTAATTTTTCAGGGGTGCTGAGTTCAAATTTAGGGGCACCACCAAAAAGAGGCTAAAATCACCACTGCAGTAGACATTTTTAATCAATAGTACTTCTAACTGAATTACTTGAAGCATATTTTGCATGTATAATCTAAGTAATTTGTAACAAGTGCATACATTTAACATTTATGCCCAAAATGTTGTCAGTGGGTTTAAAATCTCAAGTTAGCAGTATCAGTAGTACTTTTATGATAGTAACTGTTAGTGTGTGTCCCTCTGCAGTAACAAAGCCAGCCCAGGATTTGAGCTCCGTGTCGAGCTGTATAGCTGCTGCACAGAGGACGACTATTCTGCAGGAAGCACGCCGAGGAAACTGGCCAGCAAGCTGAGCTCCTCGCTGGGGCGATCAGCAGGGAAGAAGCTCAAAGCAGCCATGGAGCCCGGACTGTGTAGTCCTGTCAGCAACGGGGGGGCATCCCCTCTCCTGCTGCCAGTTCCCTCTGTGCCGTACGTCCAGCTTGAATAGCATTTATGCTAGCACGTTTTTAAAACTCATACTAAAAACGATGCTTTCTTGTGTACCGGCAGGGGCCCTAAGTACCACCTCTTGGCTCATACCAGCCTGTCACTGTCTCATGTCCTGGACGGCTTTCGCACACATGACCTCACTATTTCGGGCAATGGTGAGTGGCAGCCTCCATCAATCTGTGCCCTCACGGGTTTTCAGCTTCTTGTGCCAGAACAACCATCTGTCTGTTTTTTGTGTATGTGCTTTCTCATCGCCGTCTCACGTTTTGATAATTTCCTATAAACTGCATCTTCCTCCTCCTCCTCCTCTCTCTGTTCTTGCTTGCTCTCTGACAGACGGCAGTCGTCAAGGTCACAGTAATAAATAGTGTGACTGCTGCGTACAGCTGTAATGATGTGGGTCTAACAAGCGTTCAGAGCCGGCGACAGACACGCGTCCTGTGTTTTATTCACTGGCCCCTCCGTGCGCTGTAAAGTTTCATAGCTGCGCTTCATGACACCCTCTGCAGCTGCCAGTCTTTTTCACACTCAGGTGCTTTGTTTTGGAGGCTGACGGAGAGTGGGGGAGGGAGAGTGTGTCTCTCTGCACGGCCATTTTAGCACACACACTGGTGTGTGTGTGAATTCTGTGTTAGAATATTTTTAATTACTTGTATATGAATATTTTTCCCATCTATCTCTCTCCCCACAGAAGAGTGCTCATACTGGCTGCCACTCTACGGCAGTATGTGCTGCCGCCTCGTCGCTCAGCCCCAATGTATGACCCAGCAGATGATGAGTGGGTATTTGAAAGTCAAGGTAAGTTTGTGTGTATGCGAGGTATTCCTCAAGGGCTTTCACTCGCTCTCGGCTTTTGTTTCGACGTACTTTTGCCCTTCCCTCCTCCTCCTTTCCTTCTCATGTTTCCATTTCTCTTTCTTTGTGTTTCTTTCATGCTCTCTTTTTGTTTGCCTTGCAGCAGTGTGGAGGTGACCCTCAGAGTTGGACAAAGGTGTACGCCGTTCTAAAGGGGACGAGCCTTTCCTGCTACCATCGGCAAGAGGATGTGGAGGCAAATGTGGAGCTAGCTTTTACCATTGGCATCAACAAAGTAAGTTTAGGAGATTAAAACAAAATGAGTACCAATATTTCCAGAAAATTGAACGCACCCGAATATAAGCCACGCCCACTAAAAAAAATAAAATATATATATATATATATACATTTGTACATATATAGGATGTGCTTGTGTATAAGGTGTGGGTGTCCACATAGTAACGTGAGATATTTACACAGAAATTTTTTTTTTTTAAACTTTTAATTAAATACGTACCGATAACATACAAAAATTTGTACAATAAATGTTTTTTTTCGGAACAGGGTGTGTAATGCGGATAGTTTAAAAAAAAAAGGGGAAATACATTAGCCTACCAAGAAGTCACTGATCGCTATCTTGAACAAAGATTCCCACCTCCCACTGTGACCTGTTTGGTAATTTCACTGGTGAATTTTTTTTAAACTTTTATTTATACAGGTAGTCTCATTGAGTCATGAGGACGAACACCCCTCCCCCAAGAGGGACGAGTATTGGGCAGCTATGTGAGCGTACAGGTGTGACGAGGCGAAATGTTTTGGTGGCATGAAGCTCGTTAGCCTGTCAAAAAAAAAAAACTAAATTAACCGCAGCATTATATAAGCTGCAGTGTTTAAAGCCAGTGAAAAAAGCAATGGCTTATAGACCGGAAATTACGGTAATTCTCAAACCCCCTGGATATTGATCAAACCTTACAAAACATACCTGTAGATTTTTTCATTTTATTTTTTTGCAATACCTAAGGCATCAGCAGAGTAAATGGTAACGTTTGTGGATTTCTGCCAGTTTAAATCTCAGGGTTGAATCTAAAACGAAAAGGTGAATAAAAAAATGAATTCCAGTCTTTGTCTTTTTTTTTTTTTTTTTTTTAGAAAGAAGTCCACAAATTTCTCAATCCAGCTGCTAAAAGGAGGTCAAGGTTAGACAACTAGAGTATTTTTAGTGTCCACCACCAAAGGAAAAAAGGAGAAAATGTTTTTTGTCCCTGCTTGTGTGAGAATTTGCTTGTCTCTAGCATCAGAAAACACTTTATCTCATGAACCAATGGATGAATGGTGACTGTCTGAAAAACAATGGATAAACATCTACTACTGATTTACTTTTGGGGTGAATCCAATTCTGAATGGTTGCCACAGCTAACTGACATCAGTCAGCACAAAAATGGCTGTAGCCTTGTTTAATTTACCAGTACTGAGTAAAGTTTTTGGTGTGGTAGTTTCTGAGAATCATCCTCATTCCATCCACAGAGTGCAAACAGATCTGATAGTGAACGTGTTGTCATTTAGGCTACATGGTTTGACCAGAACAGCTCTAATTTAGTCCCCTGCATCATAAGATGGTTTCAGTTTTAGACACTGACATAAAAGGCAGTTTGTGATGTGCATTCTTTAACAAAATACTAGGCTTTTTTTTTATTTCTAGTGTGACTGTGAAAATGTTAAGCTAAATCCAATAAGGTGGAAACATTTTAAAATAAGTCTATCCATTGTTCTCTGTTTTGTGTAAATGCACTGGTCAGCTCTATCAAATCTGAAATTGTATTTTTCTCCAAGTCCTAGATGTCAAGAGTTATGAAAAAAAAAAAAAAGTCTGGTTTTCAGCCATCTAAGTTTCTTAATCTGTGTGCTTTGAGGCATTTTATTCTTTCCACTCTGGTTCTCTCGGTCATTTGTGACCTCTGACCCTCAGCACACAGCTGCCTAAAGCTAAATCACTTATAGTCGGTTATTAAATCACCGTCTTCGCAATCCATTTAGTTGTGAGACCAGAGAAGAACCCAGTGGACAAATGAGACAGCACTGCCATCTAGTGGTCACCAGTAGACATGACCACATTTGGAGCAAAGCGATGAGGGGAATTGAGAGTTTGCTCTTTTTGTTAGATAATTGTTGAAGGGGAAATGGCTTGGAAGAGGACTAATTGCTAGCTTTATTACCCAGGGTCTATTTCCAGCAGGGATTTACGCTTACAATTGGTGTAATGAACAGTTGCTGCAGCACATAATTTTTGTTCAATCAGGAGCGCTGTCATTCACTAGCACTTGTGGGCCTTCAGTGGCAGATGATTACAATTTTCCTTTTGTTGCTGTTTTGTTTTAGGAGACCAGAATACGTGCATCAGAGAAGGACCCTCAGAGTAAAGTTCAGCACATCTGCGTCAGTAACCAGTATGGAGGGGAGGAGGTCACACACGTTCTGACCGCAGACAGCAGAGAGGACACGCACCGCTGGATGGAAGCCTTTTGGCAGCATTTCTATGATATGAGTAAGCACGTGTTTTCCATATTACCTCAGTAAACTCATATATTTTACAAAAGCTGCCTCACGGATTGTGAAAATAAACATTTTTTGTAGTGTTTTTGTAGTTTCTGTTGGAGATGATTGGTTTGGTAACAGCAAAGCATCACTCAACAGGTCAGTGGAAGCAGTGCTGTGACGATCTGATGAAAATTGAACTCCCATCGCCACGGAAACCAGCTCCAATCACACCAAAGCAGGGGTCCCTTTATCATGAAATGGGTATGTTGCCTGTGTCTCTGAATAATTAGAACTAAGTCAGAGAACAAGATTATAGAACGTGCATTGCATGGGACTGTGTGCATTTTTAATCGGTGGGTGAACGTGCATGAATAAACTGTCACTACGAGCTTTTCCTCTGCAGAATCTCAAACTTACGCTGCTTTACTTTCTGTACTGTAGGTATGGATCTTTCTGACTGTTTCTGTTTTTCTCTTTCTCCATCCACCTCCCCTTTATTATTGTTTTATTCCTTGTGGGAAATGAACTGATTTACCATCAACACCTTGGTTCATCAAATTCATTGTTAATCTATTTGCTTTTCTTCTCTCATCACTCCTTTAAACATTCATTAACCCTTATTGGTTTTTTGTCATGCAAACACATAAAAACTGCACATCTTCTATCCTCGCCTCGTCCTCCTAACCCTCCCCAGCAGCTCCTCTTTCTGCACCCTCCTGCGAGGGGCTCCTGCTGCAGGATAATGCCGTTTCTGCTGAGATTCGTGCTCTGCTCTCGTCCTATTACAACGACAGGTGAAGTAGCAGGTGTAGGTTTTACACACAGTAAACTAGGCCACGGCCCCCAAGAGGCTGCGACCAGTTTTAGCAGTTAGCTTCAGGGTGGAAGCAGAATGCTGCTGCCAAGTACTGAAAGATGGAAAATGTTTTTGATCTGTTAAATAAATTTTTAAAAAGCAGCATTAAGACACACACACAGGGAAAATTTGACGTAATTTAAAATCTTAGCGTTCCTTGGAGGAAAACATATAGCCTTTTATACCAGATTTTTTAACTAAAATTATCTTATGATGATGAAGGACGGCGTTCAAGATGTTTTCATCAAACTGAGATTTCATGCAAAGTTGTTGTGTCACTTAAATCATATTAAGGCTTGGAATATGTGTTGAGAATAACTCTCGAGATACAATAACATCACACTTAAGCTAAATATAAATGATTCTGAAAACCGTTTTTGTGTTTGCTAAGGTCGATTAGTTGAGGCAGCCACCTTGAATTGGTTTGACATAACAGGTTAATCAGTTGTAGATGTTCACCCAATGATTACTGGTAGAAATCCACCCAGTAGTTACAAAGTTTTCAAAACAGATCTCACCAAATTAGATTTGAATATAAGTTGACTATGACTCTCAGCTACTACCACATCCAATCTAATCTCAAAATCTAGGAATTTGACTTATTGTTATGGTCACTTTAGGGTTTTTGGGTTTAATTAGATCGACTCCAGAAGTTAATGAATCATAGATGAGCATCTGATGATTATGTTTTGAGAGTTTTATTAAAATTCATCCAGTGGTTCTGACAATTATTGTTTTGCTAAAACAACAAATTCACGCACACACAAAACATTCATTCAGCCTTTATTTAGACAGGTTAATAATAATGAAACATAATGAAAAATGCTGAAAGATAAAAACAATAGACAAGTTATTTTAGATAAACTGACTAGACTCGATAACATGACAGGATATAAATAACAATATATATATATTTAATAATTATCAGACCTTTCAATACCTCTTTGATATTCTGCTTCATTATTTAAGCATACACCTTTTGTATTTTTGAGTCGAAAATTGCATTTCATGAATTGCACATTTATTTATTTATATATAGATTTACACTTGAAATGAGTTGTAACGCAGCAATTTTGCTAATCCCCAAAAAACTTTTTTATAATTTCCAAAAGACCTATTTTATTGAAGTTGTAAAAATGTCCTGCCTTCATTCATCCTCTCCAGCTGTGTAATGCTGACGTTTGCTGCTTCTTTCTGCAGTTATTGAGTCATCTGACGACCTGAGCAGCACCGTGTCAGACATCTTGGCTCGGAGGATGCAGGAGCTGGAGCTCCGCAGCCAGCTGGGCCTTTCTCCCACCTGGATGTCTGTGTTTGAGGAGAACGGTACAAAACCCGCTGCCTTCTCTCATCAGTGTACTTCTCGCCTGTCTGGCCACAGCCCCTGCAGTCCTCATCGCCTTCCTCGGAGCCCCGTGAGCCCCGCTCGCTGCCCGCACCTTGGTCTGCTGTCCTCAGACGCCAGCCTGACTTCAGACAGCGACAGCCACTGCAGCACCAGCCCCTGCTGTCACCACCGAGGCTGGCCTGAGCCCTCGTCAAACTTCTCTCACTTGTCTTCCCCCTATGGTCACAGGCCACGCACTCTTTCGCTGGACGCCAAGCTCAGCACCCTTCGAGGAAGGGGCTACGGAGGAGGAGGAACCTTCCACTGCCCTTGCCAGCCTCCTCCCTCCTCGCTTCTCGCTCCTCTCCCCATCTCCTCCTGTTCGCCTCGGTCACAGCGCAGCATGCAGACCACACTCTCCTGCTCCAGCTCCACCTCCAGCAACAGCTCCAGCAACAGCGAGGGCAGCCACAGCCCTGAGTCTTCAGAAGGGGTCCTTTTCTCGAGGCCCTCCCCGGCTCGACGCAGCCTAAGGAACCTCAGGGCCAGACTGGATCCTCGCTGCTGGCTCCAAACTCAGGTGTGAACTCGTTTTCTGACAGGGGTTTGTTACAACCGCTGAAAGGCAGCAGTATTTGTTAAACTATGCTTTAACTGGTTTAACATGTGGACTAAACATGCGTTCATCCCTGAGGAGGATAATAAGCCCTTTAACAAAGGACGGATTACTGAAGACCCTCAGGGGTCCAACTGGAATATCTTGTTCCTCAGAAGATGCTGACAGTCACTGCAGGAGATGCTGCGTGTCCAGTTTTCAAAATGGGAGCTGCGTTGCTTACTGTCAGGAACGTTGGATGTGCTTTTTGTGAGAAAGCCAATAGGAGCTGACACCATTTCCTGTTTAACTCTGTAAATTAGAAACTGGAAATGTGCTCTCAGATTTTCCACTTACCGTACATGTAAACATTGTCAGGTCAGTGCACCTGCTGAGGTAGTTTTTTTTTTTTTTTTTTTTTACTGGTTTAACTTATTAATATGCTACAAAGGTTTTGACCTAAAGTTTTTGAGTGTTACACTTTAACACTTTAAAAGACGGGGTGGTTGTTTGTTGCCTGTACTGTGATACTTCAGTGTATAGACCTCATTATTCATGCATCTGACTGGTGGGACTCTCCTAAAAGAAACTATGCACACTTTTGTTCTTTTTTTTTTATTTATTTTTTTTATGCACGAGCTAACGGTGAAACGTTTATCTAAAACTGTTCCAGCAGTGAATTAGATGTTTCTAATATTTACTCTGCGGGTGATCTTTTCAGTCAAATTGGCAGAATTACTTCAAAGAAAAGTTAAAATACAAAACTGGTATGAACTAGGCCTGTCGCGATAACACATTTTGCTGGGCGATTAATTGTCTCAGAAATTATTGCAAAAAACGATAATATTGTTTGAAATTTGACAATAATTGTCAAATTTAAGAAGAAATGTTGGTTACTTTGTTTTGAGTGTAGTACATTTTTTGACCCCTGGATGTCAGTATAAGACTGTTTGAACCGAAGGATGGATAGTGAGGGAGCAAGCAGCGTCTCTTTCAAAAAAATGGGAGGGAGTCCCCTTGACGTGACATGAGCAGTCTCTCTTCGGTTCTCAAAATGGCGGACGCTCAGTGTGGTTTGAGCTCTTTAGCATAGCATTTTTCACACAATGCTTTTAATAAAAAATCAATAAACAAATTTGCAGCTTCTTTTTGCAAAGAAAAACAACTTTTTACACGAAGGCATGGGTTTCAACTGTGAATTTTGGAGCTTCGACAAGATGGAGATTTTTTCCCCAAAGTCAGCCTGTTAGCTTAGCTCGTAGCTTAGCTTCTCAACTTAGCTACTTTTAACGATCCAAAAACGTGATTTTGGATCGTTAAAACGGATTTTACAGAGAAAAGAAAAAGGGATGGGTCAGTGAGCACCGGAGTTGAGCTTTTTGTCATCCAGTGTCTTCAGTAGAAAGAGAGAGACACGAAAAAACGATAAAACCGATGAAAGTGAGGTTGATAATTTTAATTTATCATGCGATTAATTGATTTATTGTTTATTGTGACAGGCCTAGTATGAACCAAAGCTGAAGTTTTAATGAAAGCCATAGTTAAAAAATCTGCCATGCTGCAGTATTGTAGGTTTTGAGTGTATAGTGACTCCTTTTCTTGGGTCGAGCCATAAAATATAAATAAGTGATGATTTAACAGACAACTACTACTGTACTGTCTGTGATGCTGAGTGCACACATTTCACACTGTAAATGCATAAATGAAATCCTCATAATTCCCTAAACAGAGTTTTTAACCAGTCTTGGAGCAGCAAAGCCACTTTCCCACTTTTCCTCCCTGTTTCTGTTGAGCGCTGTGATGTTGGAAGCTGCTGTTCTCCTGGAACTAAGAACTCGAGCAACAATAATTAATGATCTGTCAGATGTTTGAAAAACCACATTTGTTACTGTAAATTAATTTTTCTAAGTTAACGGATGAACCTCACTTTGTCTATTCCTATGTAACTGATTTTTATAAATGCAGGTGTATAGATGTTGGATTATTCTATGATGAACAGATGAGTTGCAGATCGATAACTTTCAGGCATAAATAACACTGTTATAATTCTACATTGTTGCCAGGCTTCATGTTCTGCACAAACACCATCCTAAAGATGGAATTCAGACTTAGATTTCATGTTTAAATAAGATAACATTAAAAATAATAATAAATGTTTTATCAATCATAAAACTGCCTCATTATTTTGTTATTGCCTTCCTCCAAAAGCATAAAGGTCTGTGTGTGCGTGTGTGTACATACAGTTGGCAGTATAATTTATTAACCAGTGGACAGATAATAAAACCGTATCAATGAATGTCTCTCTAATTTTGATTAACTTTTGGATTTAACCCCATTCAATATGGCCGCCATAGCCAAACGACCTTAAAGTGCCTGTGGCGTGCATATCCTATAAATACAGAGGACGAAAACATCTTAATATTTAAGAAAGTTGGCAGAATCCATGTGATTTCACCAATCTCGTTACATGACTGGCGTATTTTTTGAACTTGGTGCAGCCAAACTGAAACAGGAAGTGACATCAAAGGGGAACATTTTAAAAACAGGAAGTCTTTATTGAAGCATATTCTTCTTCTTTGTCTCTCTGATGGTGACTGCACATGCAAATAACTCACCTGTTTATCGCAGCTACGTAAAAGTTTTTATATATTTTAATGTTATTTTCCAATATTGCACTTGAAAATTTGATGTCACAGGCACTTTAAGAAACCCAAAAACTACAACTCAGCCAACTTTAAAGATGTTGAACTACAGTTTGTGGTGTGGCAGTAACAGCAATTTCTAACACCCTGCAACCTCTACTGATTGCACATTTCTGACTAAAACTTTGCCATTAACTGTTGGTATCAACCTAGGCTGTTAGCAAAATATCAACAGGACCACTGAATGTATTTTATAAAGCTGTCAAACGTAATTAAGTTGGACCACTTCAAGATGGCCACCATTGCAAATTGACATTTGGCAACACAGAAAAATTACAACTCAACTTCACAGAAATTGTGCTAAAATAAAGTGTGGTAGTGGCTGAGAGTGATTCTGAGATTACGTTTGACCTAAACAGCCATAACTTGAAGCATCTTCTAAGGTGGTGGACAACATGCATTCCTTCAGGGAATGCTAGGCCTTTAAAGTCACATCTGTTTTTCCTCACATCTACATAAAACACTACCTGTCGTAAATGTTTTCTATCACAATATTTAATTAAGGTAGACATTTATAATCTGAAACAAAACAAAAAAACACTGATAAACGGGTTAAAACACCATTTTAACTTTTAGAATCTTTTTCATGCGTATTGCCTCTACATGCCGTTTAACAGCTTCCCGTTAGATCAGAATAGCATTTTGTCAATAAAAGCAACCCGTTTCTGTTCAGCTTTCATTTCTTGCTGATGCATTCCCACTGATGGAAACAACTGAAGAAGCTTTTAGAAGCTGCAATACAAAAATCAAAGAAAAGTAGGCAGAGCTGTAACTTTGTCAGTGATTTAATAGCAAAGCCATAAATCGGTCAACAATACAAAGCACTATAACAAACATAGGAGGTAGTCAACACTGGGTCTTCACTGAGCATTGGAATATGCATAGAAAAAAGCCATGGCTATATTTTGTGTTTGAAATGCCTCCGATGAGAACCCAAAGATCCCCATTCTCTGTTTGTGGTGTACCCTTGTACCACTGTTGTGCTATTAGAACATCACATCTGCCTACGTTTCTTTCCTGCTCCCTTCTTCAGGGGTCGCCTCAGCGGGCGAACTCGCATGAAAGACTTGGCAAATGTTTTACGCCAGATGCCCTTCCTGATGCAACCTGGGCTCGAAACCGCAACCTCGGGATTACAAGACCGTGGCACTGACCACCAAGCTACTGCAGCCCTCAATGTCACATCTGCCTAAAATATAAAACAAAATACATCTAATTATACAGAGTTCAACAAACACATATTCATCAATAAATATTAAGATAACACTTGTAAATACTTTATATTGTACACTTCATATGAACCTGATTATTGATTTGTGTAACCCACTGAGGGCAACTTTGACTGTTTGGCAATTATCTGGGTTGCTGTTGGATTACATAAATGGATGAGCAGAGAGTCATCAGGTTAGGTAATAAAGAGGTTTGGGTCTCCTCCTTGTTCAACTAATTGTAGGTCCTTGATAGTGAAACATCTTCCTGTGTGCACTTGTGCTTCCTTCGGCTCCATGGTCTGCTCTCATTAGCAGGCGCTGCGAGGGTTGGATGCACGCAGCGCCAACCTGGCTACAGAGCTCCAGGCCAACGTGGAGAACTTTGCAGAGCACGTTCCGGCTCTGCTGATGTATGTGGATGCAAGACGATGGAGACGCTTGGCGCCAAAAGCGTTGTAGTGTCCAGGGAGGACCTGGTCCACCTGTTGGATTTGGCAGTTATTCTAATATAGCAGTGCATAAATGGCAACTTGAATGTGCAGATGGTGTCAAATGATCAAAGTTCTGGAAACAATAAAAGGTGGACCAGTTTTGAGTATAAAAAAAGAAGCCTTTTCTGTTACCTGCTCACTGTCCACCAGTCCCACCAGACGCTCACAGCTGCTGATGTAATCAGTGACACGGCTGAAAGGCAGCCAGTCGATCATGGCGCCATCATACACAACGTCTCCACTGAACAGCAGCTTATTGTCGCGGTCGTGGAGGCAAATGCTTCCTCTGGAGTGACCTGGCATGTGAAGTACCGTCAGCTGTCTGTCGCCCAGATTAATGACATCACCTGGAGAACAGCAAGAAAAGAGTAATGTGGGAGCAGGTTTCAAACTTTGCTCATTTGCACACAAACTATTTATTTAAGTTTATTTGATAGGGACTGCAGCAGTCCCGTGCCTGTATCATGGTGCTTATATTATAGCATGAGCTAATTTGCAGCACTTGTCCCTAGATAAACAGGCTATCTAAATAAGTAAGTGTAACTGTAGGGCAAAATGCAACAAATTCTTAAATATCTTAAATAAAATTCCTGAATCTCATTTAGCACAGCACTGATTTGATGTATAGCAGGTATGAGTTGGACGGCGAGCTGACGCACCAGGCAACAAGATATTCCAGCTGCACTGCAGCAGTGGTTCTGACACAGCAGAACAAGTCAGAATATTGACTGATGCTACAGAAATTACTCTAAAAGAATGCCGGATATTAAACTGAGGTGATTGACCAGCCAAAGCTTCTCAGCTCTAATGCAATCTGCAATATCAGCTCCAAGTAACATAAAGATTATCTGCTAAACTTAAAAGGTATTGTTTGTGCACATCCACATTTATAATGCACTTATAAATGTATAAGGAAATGTTTATAATGCACACTGCATATCGAGGTACTGTGACTGTAAATCTACTAGCAGATGATGCTGACGGGCTGAATTTATTTGTACATCCTTTTGCATCATCCTCTGATGACAGAAATAGAACTTTTGTGCCACTTCATAGGATGCTTTCAGGAAGTGTGTGGCCCAGTCTGTGTAATCTCTTCTTCCATTCCTGGAAGTAACAGAAAACATCAAAGCCATCTGCATCTTAGCCTAAAATAGAACTGCTACATAGACGGAAAAGGTTGACAGTAACTGTAAAGAAAAACAACTAAATATGTTCCTCCGTTACATATTTTTGTTTAAATGATCCATACAGTCTGCTTGAGATCTCCCAGGTCTTCCAGGGATAAGATGGCCTTTCAATGCATCTTTTGAGTAAAAAGACAAAGAACTACATCAATTTGTTCAAATATGCACCTATTAGTATATTTTGCACAAAAAAAAAACACCCTGTACCTATTCAGGACTGCATTACACAGGCCTTACGTCTTAAAGTGTACAGTATGTGACAAATCATTCAGCTTCATTTGCAGCAAAGGAAGTGACTCCATCTACTCAGTCTGCTCCTTCCACTAGACCAGGATGTTTTACCCCGGTGTATATGTTGACAACACTGGGGTTTTATTTGCAGATCTACTCCCACCATCAAACCCGCAGTGGCTGCAACCTACCCTCCTGCAGAATGTGTGTGGGCTGCACAGCCTTCACTTTGTAGTGTCTCGCCCTCCAGCCTGGACTGGGAGCCTCGGCTATCTCCCGATCGCTGAGCCAGGTGACCGTCTCGAAGTTGTCCCCGTTGGCCAGAGCATCGACCTCCGCGCTGTGGACGCCCACTTGTTGGAACTGATGTAGACCGCCCGAGTGGTCGAAGTGGGCGTGGGTGGCGATGGCCAGCAGCGGGTTCTTCCTCTCCGGGTCTTTTCCGAGCAGCCCCTTGGCGTCGATGTAGTCAGGTAAGCTCCTCAAGCCCAGACCCGTGTCTATCACCACGTCCTGGTGGCTACCGCGGAGCAACCAGATGTTGGCCCGGTTTTCTGACTGGTAGAACCGCTCCTGGATCCAGAACAGTCCGTCTCCGAGCGATTTGTGAGCGTACCAGTCGGTTGCAGACATCCCAGGTCGGCGGGTGTTGTGCCGTCAACAGTTTGAAAGGTGTTACTAGCTTTGTAGCTAAGTGGTAATATGTTTTCATTGAGGCTAATGTGCTGGTGTAGTACACGCCCTTGTAGAAAGAAGCGCATGCTCATTGGACAAATGTATAGCTGACGACATCTCAAAGCTGGACTGCAATAGGATGAAAAAGAAGCCACGCCTACCCATGCGTCACGTGAAGGCGGGGCGACTTACGCATTCTGATACGTTGCTTCCACGTTCCCAAACCGGTGTGAGAAAAGCTTTAACAACCACAATTAAATTAGGTTTATTTGAACTTTTTTTTGTGTGTTCAGGCGTACTGTAACTCGACGAATGTCAAACAAGACTACTCAACCGAGTTTGAACGAGAAGTACACTGAAAACGTGGAGACTCTTTAAATGCTGCCTTGAAATAGTGTGGCTTTCCACACGAGCAGAACTGTGCCGTAGTGAGTATTACATGCGTGTGTGACGTTTTTAAAAGCAATTTTAAAGGTCGATAAGTGCCGCAGTGGTGTAAACACGTGTTTGTCAGTGACGCTGACAGCATGACATGTGTTGCAGCCAGAGGAGAGACCTGCAGCCATGGCGGGCAGGGGTCGTGGAGTGGGTTCCTTTACCTTCAACATTGACGCCCTGGGCATCGGCAGAGGCAGCATGCCAGATGCCAGGGTGGGCCCCAGCCCTCTGTTTCCAGTAAGTATCACACACACACACAAGAATGCAAGGAGCCCAGGAAAATCTCACGAAAGTGCACGAATTATCTTATAAAGAGGAGATTCAATGCTCTAGTTCTCGAAGTCGGCGTGACGTCATCTGCCACGTGATATTCCTATCCCAAAGAGTCCGCATAAGACTAACCTAAAGTTGTAAAGCTTTCCATTAAATGTAAATGTTCAATATATACAGCACGCCGCTGTTTATGATAAGATAATTGACAAAATAAAGATGGTCAATTTGCATTAATCTAATTTATGTAATTACACTTACTATTTAAGATAACCGTATTATTATTATTATTATTATTAACGTTTATTTAACCAGGCAAATCTCATGGAGATCACAGATCTCTCTTGCAAGGGAGGCCTGAGCCTGAAGTCAGCCTAACATGCATGTTTTTGGTCTGTGGGAGGAAACCGGAGTACCCGGAGAAAACCCACGCGAACATGAGAAGAACATGCAAACTCCACACAGAAAGACCCCAGGTCCAACCGGGCATTGAACTCAGGACCTTCTTGCTGTGAGGCAACAGTGCTAACCACTGAGCTGTTGTGCGTGCTATACCCTACATAAGTAACATGTAAAATACTTCTATAATACTAGTTCTAGAAGAAGTTTTAATACTTATTATCTACGAACATGGAAAAAAATCTAGTATGATCATATAACATGCATTGTCCACTCACCCCATCTCTGTTTTCAAGTTCAGGTCAAGTTTGTCATTCACATCACATGTGATGCATGAGGTGGAACGAAATTATGCACTCGGGGTCCCAGTTACACCCAACAATAGCAAAAATTTAAAGAGTAAAAAGAAACAGTATATAAGTATCTAAGATATACGTTAAACAAACGCCAGACGGCACACTAAAAGATAAACACTAATAATGTAAAACAATACGTCATAACCGCAGTCATTCAGCACTTTGCATTTCTAACAGTTTGTTTTGTATATTTCAGGTTTATTTTTGTACAGATCTCTATATGATCATTGCATATATACTTAACGTAACAAAAAATACGGACGTATGCATGCGTACTATGTGACCCAAGTGTGCCTACAGCAGCTTTCCATTTGTCCCTTCTTGGTCTTGCAGATGAAATTTTTTTTGTTTCTGTTTTAATGCTTCTTGTTAGACGTGCAATAATTCACACCAACATCTCACTATTTTGTCAACTTTCCCCCAGACCAATATGTCAGCTTCCTTGTAGGAGCAGCTATGGATGAGTGGTTAGATCAGTCATCTAATGGGAGAGTTGGGGGTTTGAGTCCACCAGAAGTCACATGTTGAAGTGTCCCTGGGGAAGACACTAAACCCCTTATTGCCTCTGATGTTTGTCAGTGTATGAATGTGATCTAAAGCTCTGATTAGTCTATAGATTCAGAATAGTGTTGTACAACAGATATAGTAGAGTGCTTGATGAATGTGTGTGTGTGGAGATAAATGAGGGCACAGATTGTAGTGTAAAGCACTTTTGAGTATCTTGATAAAAATAGAAAGGCACTATATAAGTACAGTCCATTTACCATTTGTACTGTATGTTCACATTACCATGTACCCGGATGTCCAACTTTGAGAACTGCACTATTTGTTGCATTTCAGGGAGGCAGGTGGAAATTTCATGGACTTTGAAATGTAAAACGTGTAGCCTGCATATATGTAAAAACATGAAAAGTATTTTTAAAATTATCTCTGTCATGTGTTTGTAATCTCTTGGATTTAAGTGAATTCTTATTAACTAATATTCTATGTTGCTCATTTAGACTAAATGTGTTATCTGGACTGGAAATGGTATATTTATTAAGGTGCATACCTATAATGTTTACTGTTTTTAGCACGTTTCAACTTGTGAGCTGAGCAAACAACTAGAATACACATTTTAACCTCTGGGTTTAATGGAGTCATATTGGGATGTTACTCCTCATCTTTACCAAATAATTAGTTTATTCCAGGAATATTGGAATCCAACCTGGTTTGCATTTTTAATCCCTCTTTAATAAGTCTACTTCAGTTAAATATGATATATACAGACCCTTTCCAAAAAATTTTAATATCATGGAAAAGTTGTTTAACTTCCATAATTCCATTCAAAAAGTTAATCTTTAATAGATGATAGATTCAGGGCCCACAATTTAAACGATTTCAAGTATTTATTTGTTTATTTTTGCATAATTTGGGCTTCCAGCTCATGAAACCCACAAAAACAGGAATTCGGAAAATTTGAATACTGTGGAGAAATCAGCCCCAATTTTGCAGGATGTGAATGTTTTAAACTGAGTGTGACACTAATCATCTACTAAACTCAAAGCACCTGCACAAGTTTCCCCAGATGTCATGAAATTTCTTCAGTTTTGTTCAATTGTCTCAGTTCGGTTCAATATGGGAAAGACTGCAGACATAACAACTGGCCAGAAGACCATCATTGATACCCTCCATAGGATGAGTAAGCCACAAAAGTTCATAGCTAAGGAGGCTGGCTGTTCACAGAGTGCTGTGTCCAAGCATATCAATGGAAAGTAGTGGAAGGGCAAAATGTGACAGGAGAAGATGCACCAGCAAAAGAGATGATCGTGGGCTTCAGCGGATTATCAAACAGAGAAGATTCCAGAATCTGGCAGAGATCCAGAAAGAGTGGAATGAGGTGGGAGTCACAGCTTCAAAAACCACCACATTCAGATGCATCCGGGAGATGGGCTGTAACTGTTGGGTTCCTCGGTCCTCTTTTCCAATGAAAGTAAATTGTGCCTTTCATTCGGAAATCAAGGTCCGAGGGTTTGGAGGAAGAAGGGTGAGGAACAGAGCCCATACTGCTTGAGGTCCAGTGTGAAATATCCACAGTCAGTCATGATTGGGGTGCAATGTCCGATGCAGGTGTTGCTAAACTCTGCTTTCTTAAATCCAAGGTCACCACAACAGTTTACCAGAATGTTTTAGAGGACTTCATGATTCCTTCTGCTGAGGATCTGTATGGAGATGCAGATTTCATCTTCCAGCAGGACCTGGCCCCTGCCCATGCTGCCAGAAGCACCAAAACCTGGTTTGATGCCCATGCCACAGTGCTTGACTGGTTAGCCAACCCACAGGACCTAAACCCCATTGAGAATCAATGGGGTATTGTCAAGAGGAACATGAGGAGCACCAGACCCAACAACAAAGAAGAGCTGACAGCAAGCATCAAGGAAATCTGGGCTTCCATAACTCCCAGTCAATACCACAGGCTGATTGTTTCAATGCCACATCGCATTGAGGCAGTGATTAAGGCAAAGGGATTTACAACCAAGTATTGAAGATTGACATATCATTTTGAAAGTACCGTATTTTGATTGATTTGTTGTGATCCTAATTTCTTTTCTTTCTTTTTTTTCTGCAAAAATTGAGTAGTGTGGGCTGATGTTTTCACAGTATTCTAATTTTTTTAAATCCTGTGTTTGTGGATTTCATGAGCTGGAAGCCCAAATTATGTAAAAATACACAAATAAATACTTGAAATTGTTTAAATTGTGGGCCCTGAATCTATCATCTATTAAAGATTAACTTTTTGAATGGAATTATAGAAGTTAACTTTTCCATGATATTCAAATTTTTTGGAAATGGCCTGTGTGTATATATATCTTGAGTGAGATTAAACTAAATTGTATTCTGTTATATGTATTTTATGTTGCTTCAGTAATTTAAATATTTTTATGTATTCTGCCACATCGGCTTCAGTGTTTATACAAGGCTAACCAAGTAAAAATAAAAATCTAGTTTTGTCTTCATGGCCTTCTCTGTCCTCCAGAATACAGAGTTTAAACCAGTTCCACTGAAAGGCGGTGAAGACGAAGACTACATGCTGGCCTTAAAGCAGGAAATGAGAGGAACGATGCAGCGACTGCCACACAACATTAAAAACCCGACCAACAAAGCAGGTGAGGAATAGAGTGCTGCATTAGAAACCTGATGTCCGAGAAAATGGCTCTGCCAAGACGATTTACTCTGCTGTGAGCCAAGGTAATGCAGCTTTTAGGAACTGAGACATTTAATTAGGGCCATATCTAGAAAAAGAGTGCAATCCTAGCAGAGAAGTGAGTTCAAGCATCTGTCTCATCTTGCAGTATTAACAAGATTTCTTAGGTGTGGCGTCACAAGACTTTCATAGTGGACTCATTGAACAAGCATCCATAGTAATGTTTTTATATTTCAATTTTTTTTTTGAGCTCACAAAACTATGGGGAAACAATAATTCCAATATCCAGGAGCTGAGTCTGTTTAAAAGCTTCAACATTTGTTTTGCCATAGTCCTGATTTAATGTCAGGAATGTGCTGATAGACTCTTAATTCTGATATTTTTCTGATACTGATATGAATTCCAACATACCTGAGTATATTATAGCACATCTGTCTCTTTTTTACATAAAACAGAAGTGGAGAAATACACTGAAAGGTACCTGAAGCGACGACAACTTGACGATGACGAATGGACTCCAGGTACTTGTTTTCAACCCTGTTATAAAATCAGAACATTCATTCTTTAAAGGAAAGTAAAGCAAACATTATTTTTCACATTTTAGACTGGAATTTGCTTCCAAAAGAGTTGATGCCCCGGACTAAAAAGCCTCGAGCCAAAATAGGTGCCGGTACGTGAAAACCAACATGCATGTAATGAGGTTTTTGTTGTATGAAATTTGATTTAAAAAGCTTTTCTTCACCAGGAACAAAGAAAAAACCTGTGAAGATCTCAAGCAAAGAAGCCACAGAAGTTCTAAATAAATTAGAGGTAAGTTTTTCTTACACTGGAAATATCTCACTCAGTTGATCAGTCTGGGGAGCACTGGAGGGTTCTTTTTGAAGACTTCAATTAAGTGCTAGGGGAGTGGTTGTGCAGAGGTTAGAGAAAGATGTAATAGGTAGGTCGCTGGTTCAACCCCCTGGACCAGCAACATTAGAATGTGGGTGGGAAAGGTGAAGCACCCACACCTGCCTCCACCCTCATTTGTCCCACTCTGGCCCCTTGAGCAAGGTCCTTAACCCCCACCATCTTCTACCTCGGGTGCCCTAGCTGGTAGCTCTCTGCTCCACACAGAGGGCTGTGGTAGCTCAGTGGTTGCATCAGGAAGGGAATCCGGCATAAAGAAAATGCCAAGTTTTCGTGTGAGTTTTGTTCACTGTGGCGACCCCCTGAGGAAGGGAGTAACCGAAAGAAGAATATTTTCCTGCTATATTTACAATTTTTTAGAAATGTTTCATACTTTTTGGTCAAGTAACAAAACGGTAACAATCAAAGTTCATGCTCAATAATCCAGGTATAAAATCCAACAATGTTCAGTCAGGTCATCTGGAAGAAGTCCTTCAGATGAAGGACGAAACATCTCACCAACAAAAAAAACGTCCAGATGACCTGACTGAACATTTCTGTATTCATACCTGGATTAATGAGCATGGACTTTGATGTTTTGAACCACTTTGGCATGGCTGTCTTGGGAGTTGACGGGGGAGAGGGCGGGCCCCAGAGGCCATCTTATCACCAGTAAACTGCTTTTTTCCCCACTATGGGAGTGTGCTGCTTGTGGGACTCAGTTTGTTTGGTGGCTTCTCAGACTGAAGAAGTCCTTTGGGATGAAGAACGAAACGTCTCCAAAAAAAAAAAACCCGTCCAGATGACCTGACTGAACATTGTTGGAAACAAAAACAATCTATTGTTTTAAGTCTTCAGAACTTTTCCTATGACTTTACTGATTTCTCATGTAATTCAAAAGCTAATCGTCTGAAAAAAGCAAGCGCAGTACTCGGGAAAGATGTTCCAGCAACTTCAGAAAAGCTTTATGAAAGTCTCAGACCTGACTAGTGGAGCATTTCACGAGTGACCTAAAACTTCATGTTGTTGCCTCATACACAGTCTGAGGCGAACGGCTTCACAAAAAGCAAAAAAGGTGAAACTTGAACAGGAAAGCTGTCGAGCTGTAGGGTCACCCCTACAAATGATTTAAGGTGCATTTGTTGCCAAGATGAAAACTGAAAAGTCTGAAGAATAATGCATTTAGACTACAGGAAATTTATTTTCCAGCAATTAGGCCAATTATAAATGGTCACATTTTAGTTTTTACCAGGTTTTTAATATTTAGCTTCTAAAAAAAAAAAAGAGTAAAGTTTTAAAGAGTAAACCATTGGTTTGTCATAATTAGTGAATTTACCAAATCTGTATCAGCATTTAAAGAACAAAAGTACCGTGTGACAATAAACTTATAATTCAACATTTGCATCAGATAAAAAAAACATTTACATCATCACACTGGATCTGAGGATAAAAAACACTTTTTGGGTTTGAATGGGTTTAAATTAGAACAAACTCTTCCAAAAACCTGCTTGTTGATGAGGTTTTGTCGATGTGTTGAAGTTCTCTGTATAAACTGTAAATATGCTTGATAAGGTCTTCTGCAAGAAATGCATTGCATTAAACATTTTCAATGTTGTGTCAGGAACTGGCTAAGAAGGATGACGGCAACCCTGAAAAGTCAGATGATGAGACTGAGAAGAAAACGGGAAATGAGGATGAAGAAGAAATAGAAGCGGAAGAATATGATGAAGAAATTGAGGAGGTAAAATAAAAAGTACTCTGATCTGAGAGATGAACATTACATATAGTGCAGTTCTGTTAGAATTTGCCCTAATATTGTGCTTTAATTTGTTTGCTTAGGAAAATGATTACATCGAAAGCTACTTTGACAATGGAGAAGATTTCGGTGCCGACAGCGATGAGAATATGGACGGTGAAGCAACGTACTGAAACTAATTTCTAATTTGAGCAAGCTGGCAGTGCAAAAACATCATGATACAAGAATTAATCTGTTCCTTTAAAATGCATTGCTTTGGTGGTGTGCCTGTGTAAATAGAAGTGCCAAAACGTGCAAAATGAAGAGAAATGTATTGAAAATAGATTTATTTATTTTTCACCCTGCAGCACATTTCCACAGGTTGAAAGGCACATACTGTCAATATCTCCATGATGCTTTGTGATAAATTATCAAGTGAACACTGTGACCAAATAAAAGGGCTATATAACAAAGTCTAAAAGTTCACATTACATTATGAGGCAGTATGGGAGTACTGTGCATTTCCCGTTTAACTAATATGCTAGGTTTTAAAATGTGGAAAACAAACACGCTTGCAATGGAAAGACATATTCAAGATAATTTCATCAAAATTTAACCGACAATACTGATTGTACAAAGAAAAACTAATGCTCAGTTTTTCAATAAACTACTTAAACAGTGGTAGTCACACTTTTACAAGGAATGGTTGAGGTGGATTTCCAACCCTGGCATGATAAATAAATATCTGAACCAAAATGAATAAAAACTGCTTTAAAGCAAATCAAAATAATAATAAAAGTAGACAACCACCAAATCCACAAACCATTGGGCAAGTTTTCTGCTGTTCATTGAAAAATAATTACCGTATAACTGACTAAATGTAAGGACTTCTGGATAACCACAAAAACATTATGTTGACTAGACCAATAAAACTTTTGTACTTGAAAAATCAGAATACCATAAGATCAAAACGTCCATGCAGCTCTTCAATGCTTCTATTTTTGCTCCCAATACATCCCAGCCAAACTAAATACACTGGAGTAAAGACCATTTGAAAAAGGGAACTTCTAGAGCTTTATTCTGTTTGAGTTAATAACGTATGGAAAATAATGTCCTATGTTTTCTTAAACTGTCCATTTTCATCTACTAGATTATTGCCCACTCTCAGGTTTTGTGGCTTTTCATTGACCTTTTGTTCAAGTCCAGCCTTTAAAGGGTTATTTTCGACAGAATGGCCCATATTTTTACTATTGATCTGTCCATGATGCACGTTGCTCGATGCCTGTGTGGGAATACTGTGATGGCTGACGTCAGACTTTACAAGAACCTCGTAGTACAGCAAATAGAAAACCGGTGTGACAATGCCAACAACTAGCATGATGGCCACGGCAGTCCACCATCTCATGCCCCAGTCTGCTCCATAATAAGGGTCCTTTCTCTGTGTTAGCTTGTACTCTACTTCTCCCAGCAGTGGTTGCTGCTGCTGCAGTGTTAGAGAAGACACAACCTCATTCAGGCTGCTCCGAGATGGTCCTGTGGATTTCACCAGCTGCTCAATGTCCTTGTCCTTCTCCTGGAGAAATCCTTCCACACTGTCTGTGGAGGAGGAGGAGTCCGTGGAGGACTCAGAAGGGAGAGACATAACTGAGGAGATCGGGGGCACACGTCTAGCTGCTGTAGGGGAGCTCGAACTGAGTGACCCGACATTATGGGTCTCGGTGAGGACACTGAAGCGTCTCACAGGAATCTTAATTGAACGCAGCGCGAAGAAATCCTGTTCTGTCAAAAGGTTGTTTGCACGCTTGATGTCAGCCACCTAGAAGGCACACACAGAGAAAGAAAATGTTTTAATAAGTATAAATGTATATTTGGGTTAGAAAACACTCCTGAACTGTTTGAATGCAGAGTTTTTAAACTACAGAAATAAACTTTTTTTTTTTCCAAGAAGTACTTGCATTTAAAATATGTATAACCTTTAATTCCCAAATTATTGTTTGAATCAATCCACATTTTCTTTGTTTCCATCTTTCCCCTCCACACATTACGGTTTAGATGATGGGTAAGCGATATGGAAACTACATTACCCGCTGATCAGACAGAATCACATGTAGGTGTATCCACTCTGTACCAACAATTTGTGGACAGAGAATGTAAACTTAATTTCAATAAGGCTTGTTTCCCTCCATCACCACACCCATGGCAGGATGTCGCCCATTTACTGTGTAGAATAGTCCAACATTTCTGCATTCAAAAATGTCAGCTTCCAGATTTTTTAAAACCTTTTAGGCATGTTTACACCAGCAGACAGCATATGCTTAACAGTTTAGATTTCTATTTAGACTCCTTTGGTTACACAGAGCATCAACTGCATGTTTCAGCCACAGCTCAAGCTGGTCTGTTTCAGAGTACTATTTAAAGTTCTGGTGTTTGTTTCTAAAATAAGGTCAAAAAACATTTCTTAAAAACAACAAAAGCCCTGCTAAACATTTGTTGATTATCATCTTGAACATTACGCCTTTTACTGTAGCTTCCATGTGAGCTGATACGCATTACATTATCTACTGTTAATGATTTTTTAAAATTATTTCTGCAGTTACGTTTGCAAAATGAACAAAAAATATATCTTGATGCATGCTCAATAACCCAGGTAGATAAATCTAACAAGGTTAAGTCAGGTCCTCTAGACTGCATCCCCACTAAATCGGGAGCCATGGAGAAAGAGAAATCCCACACAAGACAGGCCCTGGATCAATGTGGATATTCTAACTGGGCCCTCCTAGAAGAAAAAACCCAACCAGGACTAAGGTCAGCCATCGGGTGAAAAGGAGGACCCAAACCTAGAACAGTGGTCACTCCATATGTTGCAGGAGTTTCAGAGAAACAGATGTTTATTTTCTAAACATGATGTCCCAGTGGCTTTTAAAACACCAAAATACATTACGGTAAAGACTGGTCCATTACAAAGATCCAGTCCCCCAGCACAAATAGAGTAATATTGTGTATGCTGTTTCATTTCATAGAACCGCAGAGGAAGCTGCGGATGCACTCAAAATATGCGCCGTGTAAACGGCCCCTTATTTTATTTATTTAAATTAGGACAATGCATAATAACATGTCAGCAGTAAGCATCAATGCAAATATGCCAGAGGAGGGCTGTGATCAGTCTGAGGGTGCATTCACACCAGCCCTGTTTAATCCGCTTTAATCGAACTCTAGCTCGTTTTCCTAGAAAGTCCGGTTCGTTTAGGGAGGTGTGAACGCACCATCGAACTCTGTCACGGAACAAAAAGGCAAACTCTGGCCCGGGCTAAAACCTAGGTCTCGGTCCGGTAGAAGCAAGCTCCAGCGCGGTTCTAGTGCAGTGTGAATGTAAACAGACCGAGCCCCGCTCCACAGGACAAACAAACACGCATTTCTCTGACCATTGGTAGTTGGTAATTGGTAGCCCTGATGGCTGCTTGCAATTCACAGAGGGCTGAGTGATGCAACAACAGCGTTTTATAAGAGGGGACAGTTGAACACGGAGGACTCTGCCCCTGTTTGATGATGGACAGGTTCTATTCACAAAAATGGCCTCCTTTACTCCTCTCTCAAACCATCGTCCTTCTCTATCAAGGATGTGAACATGTTCATCCCTGAGAGTGAGTGCTGGCCTGCAGATGAGTGTAAACTGCAGAGTCCTGGCCTGATGATGTTGCTCTTCTGTGCTGGGCCATCCTTTTGGCCAGCGGCTGTTTAGTTTCCCTGATGTAAGTTAGGGCTCTAACAAAACATTGTTATGCCAATTGTCCTCCTTTATCATGTGAACAACTAATTTTGACTGTCACCAAAAAACTGGTTGATCCACTATGAGAAGGTGCTATTGATAAGACAGATTGTTGCTACTCTTCAAACTGAAGGTCTTTTGGATACAAGATGAAACATTTCAACAAGAACAATTCATCCAGAGGACCTGACTCAACCTTGTTAGAATAGAAAATATGTATATATTTTCTTAAATCATTGTTAATGTAATACAATAGAAAATGTTCTTATTTTATAGGTAACTAGTGATCAACTTACAGTCAACTTGTCAATTTAATACTCTATTCAATGACATAATTGACTTTTTGTTGCCCCAAATGTAAAAGGTTCCCATTTTGTTTCTGTACATTAGCTAAAAAACCGAGAATTTGGATTAGTGCTTCAGAGTAAGAGCAAAAACATACTGAGCAATGATACTGCAGGGCAATGCTGTTCAGGGTGTCCCCTTCCTGGATATCCCGGGTAAGGTAGATTATATCATCCAGTTTCTCTTTGGAGGTACTTCTTCGTAGTCTCTCTCTTCCACGTGACCGTAGCTCGAAACTTTCTCCATCCTCCTCTGACAGATCATTCTCTGAGCCGTTGTTTCCAAACAGGTAGGCATGACCGCCATAGGCAGGCTGCACCATGGTGGCTGACTGGAACCCATAATGCTGACTTCTACTGGACATCTTTCGTCTCTGTATGAGTAAAAGAAAAAATATGCTCAACTTTCAAATCCTGGATGTGGGCAGCAACTTTTCTAGACTAACAGCAAGACTGACTTGCTCAAAAAATGGCAAAAATGTGATTCTACTAATGACTTATTTTATTAAGCTCGCTTCATTCTCTGAGGTTAAATGTATCAGAAAAAAGTGAATTTAAATGTCGTAATCAGAAACTGTTTGAATAGCATGTGCATGCAAACCTGTGCAACAACAAACGGAGAGATAAGGTTTCAACAGTTTGACCACGCATGCAGGCGAATATGTCTGGTGATAAAGGTGACGGGAAAACATTAAACTGCACCTTTTACTAAGGTTTACCATGAATTACCGTTAAACAGTGATGTACAAAAATATATATAAATTCTCCCCCTTATAGATTTGATTTTCTTTTTTAAATCACACTTTTCAGATCAGCAAATAAATATTAATATTAGACAGTAAAGATGAGTAAATACAAAATCAATTTTTAAATTACGACTCAATATATTAATGAAAAAAAGCTTTCCAGGTCTGTGTGTTTTTGGTCAGCAGTGATTTTCTCCTTCAAACTCTCATGGAGGCCATTTTAGCCCTGAATTGTTCCAATTGTTAGCTCACAAACACTGCCTTCACTGAGACAAGTGTGGCCTGCAGTCCTTTCTGGGTTCTTTTGGGATCTCCTGGATGAGTGTCAGTGAGCTCTTGTGTAATGTTGGTCAGCTGGCTACTGCTGGGAAACTGTTCCATGAGTTTAACATTTGTGGATAATGGCTATATTTAATTATTGATTCTACTGGTTTGACAACTATCAGGCCTAGGAGTGGATAGCAAAATTAACTTCTGCAACAAATGTGGTTAATCACAGAGGGCAAATTGTTTTTCACAAAGGGCCAAGTTAGTTAGGATAGTTTTTATCCCTTATAATAACTAAAATCAATTTTTAAAAACTGCATTTATTTTTACTTAGTTTATCGTTGTATGATTATGGTTATTGTTGTCTGATATTAACATTTGATGGCTAATATTTAACATTTAAGTGCGACACAAAAAAAGCATAACCAAGATGAACGCTAATTTGCACAAATCTGGCATAGTCAAGACCAAACTGATCATTTCCTTTCCCCACATAACAGTCTGGCACGTAATACATTAAAATAACCTATTTTACGTGTGGTAACTTACCAGGTATTTGGACTTTTATCTTATTACAACAGGTCTGTAACTTATGTGCGAAGCTAACCCTTCAAGTTAAATAAAAAGGCATGTTGCTCTTGCTAACGAGAACAAAACACAGACTTAGCCCGAATTAATAAACTTTAAACGCAACTTCATTAACTCTTAAGTCCCTGGCTGAAGGATGATGAACGCTGAGCAATAAACGAGGTAATTAGTGTAGATTTCTCCTCCCCTGTAGTTCAGACAGGTAACAACAAAAGTGTAAAAGAAAGCAAAATCACGACATGACAATAAGCCGGTGACCTAAATCAACAAATCATCACGTTAGAAACCGAGATCCATATAGATTAGCTCGGCTAACGAGCTAGCCGTTGTTAGCGTAGCCTCTAGCGGTCCACTGGTCTGTCTTCATTATGTTACTCTTACTAAGTTGTCAAAATTTATTTTTACCTGCTTTGAAAAAGGCTTCCGGTCAATTATCCACAGAAATGTCCATAATTCCGCAAGATTATGTTTGGTCTGTCCTACTCGTTGTTTTGTTACCTCTCTACTAACCGCTGTTTCCACCACAGCTAGGTAGGACACGTCAACAGAATATTTACGTGATGACGTAATCATGGTTCCCCCGACCGCAGTGTTCACGTTTTACCATAAGGGGGCGCCAAAGCTCAATTAACAAGAGCGCTTCTTTTAAAACATCATGAATCAGAAACAGTGTTCTCCTTTTTAAAATTTAATTATGAACCTCCACGCAGTTTACACAGAATATTGCTCCGCTTATGTTCAATAAAATTCGATCTCCTACGGTCCTAATTTGTGGACAGTTTTCGAGATAGCAGCGGTTATGCCTGCTGGGCTCACATGGTGGAGCTGTGTGCAAGCAACACCAGTGTTCACCCGCACAAGACAAATGGGATTAAAGCATTTTATCTCATTAGGCTGCGACCGGTAGACGAGCATGTGTCTCTGAGGAGCTGCAAACTATTATTTTTATCTGGACACTGAGGCTCGCACAGAAGCAGGATCTCACCCACATGCTCCAGAAGTAGTTTGAGCTGGGTCTGAAACGAAAAGGGAGGGAACCGCTCCGTTTTTTTTTTGTTGGTTACTATTCCAACTCCAGTCCCGTTATTCACATGACAGACGCGCTTCACTTTGTGTTGTTCTCAGGAAACTAAAGACAACATGACGCTGTTCTAATTTGATATTTTTGTTTGGGAAGAGACAGACTACTCCAGGAGAGCTTTTTTCCCCCCTACATGTCATTCTCGGATAAAATAAAGATATTGTAAATTATCTTAGGACCGAGAGGCCAGGCAAAGTGTCAGGTAAGTCCCTATGATTTAATCCTTGAAAATATTTGTCTTTGTATTGTGGTCACATAGAGTTAATTAAAAAAAAAAAAAAAAAAGAAGTAGTCAACTTTTAATTAAAAAGACTTGACGATGACCACAATCATTGTGACACAATTTGTTTCCCAGTGAGGGAGTGGGTGAGAAATGAACAGTAAATCACTCCAGTGTGTAGATTAATGATACAAAGAATAAAGCAGGGATGCTCCTCATCAATTATGCCAGACAGCTCAAAGCAGACATTGAAAACGATTTAAAAAGTGCTGCTAATGTCCTTTTTTATTTTTATTTTTTTTTGCACCGTGCCAGAAATGCCCCTCAGGAGCAGCTCATAAAGCTGAAAAGCCTAAATATTGATTCAACGCAATCAGTGAGTGAATGGTGAGGCAGCCCATTGAGGAGGGAGACAAACGCTTCCATGGTTACATCCAGGATCTCCAGTGTGATCACTGCGCTTTGTGTTGGCTTTTTCTCTCTCTCCCACTGAAATAAAACAACTCTCTCTTACACACACACACAGAGCCTGGGACTGATCTATAGGCTTTCCTCGGGCCATCTTGGCACACTTTGAGTTGCGCACATGTGCATACTGCTGTTAAATGAAGGAGCTGTGCCTACCTACCCATACTGTGCTTCTTGGAGTCAGCTTCTTCTCATGCTGGTGTAATTTGTGTCGTTGTGTTTTCAGCCTTTGAATAGTTGAATTTGCTCTTCTTCACCTCTAATTGATCTGACATGATGTCATCTTGGTGCGTCCTTTCCAAATCTCTTTTGTGTTGCCTCCCTGGTGAGTGGCGCCTCAGCAGACTTAAATCCCTTTCTCGGTGTGTGTGTGTGTGTGTGTGTGTGTGTGCATGCGTGTGAGAGAGAGAGAGACAGCTGCTTCTGTATCCATTCTGTATTTACACCTGCTCCTCCTCACCACCAGCCTTGACTGTTTCTTATCTTTGTACAAACCAGTGGCATTCTTCACTTTGCTTCTTTGTCTTCATCGGCCAAGAAGAAGCAAAACTTCGCCCTGAAATTCATAGTTTTTCAGCATCCAGGCCTGTAAACTCTTTATCTCCATCATACCAAACCCACATGTCATCTTTATCTCCATCATACCAAACCCACATGTCAACCTCTGAGGTCCTGACTTGCTCGGAGAGCTCAGGTCTCTTTTGTTTGTCAGTGTTTATGTCATTGCCTGGCAGGGGTCAGCCCCCATTCGCCCGTGTGAGGGTCTGAATGTGATTCACTGAGCGGAAACTGTTTTACTGCCTGCCTCTCTCCCCTTCTGTCTCACCCCCTCCTTATGGCTGCACAGTACAAAAGCAGGAGGCTGAGCCCCAAACAGAGCCTGTTCATTATGAAAGATGCTGAAATGTTGCACGCTGCAGACAGGAGCAGATTGATGTTCATTGGGGACGAGAGGGCTTCTCTCAGTGTGTGGCGGTGCAGGGAAGCAGAGGATGAAGGTCTGCAACAGGCTGCCTGATGGAGCTGTGTCATGTTGGAAGCAAGAGCTGTAAAAAGCTGCTCTTTATCTGCTCAACGCAGACAAATTGTTAAAACTGTGCATGACTTGCTCTAAGACTGTGACCATACCATTATTTTTGTTCTCCTGTGTGCTTTTCATTACATGAGTGGGGAAAAAAACTAGAATCAATAAAAATTTGTTTATTTTAGTCCATTCGCCGATCTTGTCTGAGGACATTGGATATTTTATGAAAAAAAATATTGCCGTTGAAAAAAACGATTTAAATAATCAAATAGTTGTCTAAACTGGTTTTAAAGGTTTGTTTTGAGTAATTATTTGACGTTTCGGGCTTGTTCCCACAGAAGACGCATTAGGGGTTGGAGCACACAGACAGGACATTGTACAGTAAACAATACAAATTGATCCTGGGACCTCCTTGTTTTGTCTAATATGGTTCCCGGTGTGTAGCGGCTGCAGCAGACACTCGGCCCTGACCTGGCTGTCAGTTCTCATAATCATATAGATGTGGGCACAAATATTCATGCTTATTGTTTCATCTTCCTCTCGAGGCGTTGAGGTGCCCATTAATCTGCTGTCCATTTGACAGTGAAGCTTGAACTTTGACCATTTTGATGTTAGAAGCTTTTATGGCCCCGTCAACTACAGAGACTTTTGGTGTGATGACTATAATACACGACCTCTCAACAATAAAGATTTGTCAGAAAAGACTGAAATTGAAGCACATGCATTGAATTTCTGAGATTATTGTATCAACGGATCTATTTTAAGACGTGTTCAAAGTCTTTTGTGTTTTTTTTATGTAACTGTAACTGAACCCCCCCATCTTTTTTTTATCCTTATTTTGTAAATTTGCAGACAGATGTTTTTTTTTTGTCTTGCCATATTCTTAACTGATTTGATCTTGAGTCATGAAAACACCTCATCATTTGTGTGAGGACAGTTTCATAATGTAACTCTCGGCGGCTGATTTGAGCATAGCTGAGATTAAGTGGAGCTTATATATTGTTTATATATAAATAAATAAATAAATATATATATATATATATATATATATATATATATATATATATATAGTTTATACAATAAGGTTAACTATTATAGTAGAGTTTACATATATATTGAGCATGTATCAGAATAATTTATATATTGTTTTACAAAGAATCTCTTATTGATTTTCTCAAAGAGTTAGTCAGTGGCGAGACATTTGATGTGGTTGAAAAATTTACCGTATTTTTCGAACTATAAGGCGCACTTAAAATCTTTTAATTTTCTCAAAAATCGACATTGAGCCTTATATCATACCATACCATTTTATTTATAGAGCACTTTAAACAGCGACAGGGCCAACCAAAGTGCTGTACAAACAGAAACAAACAGGCAAAGCACACAGCAACACATAACATAATGTAAAATCATAATATAGAAAACCCACAAATAGCAGATAATAACATAATGACTAACACAGTGTTGGTGAGGCATACAGGTTCAACACAAATCATACAGTGTTGAAAGCTAGGGTAGTGGGTTTTGAAGTGGGATTTAAAAACTATGAGGGAGGGGGGGGCTGCCTGACAGGTAGAGGTAAGTCATTCCATAGTCTTGGGCCTGCGACAGAGAAGGCCCTGTCCCCTCTGCATTTAAGATGGGTTACTGGAACTGAGAGAAGCAACTGGTCTGCTGACCTCAGAGAATGCGGTGGGACATATGGCTGCAGCAGATCAGCAAGATAGGAGGGTCCAGAACTGTTCAGTGATTTAAAAACATACAAAAGGATTTTGAACTGGATTTGAAGGTGAACCGGTAGCCAGTGCAGTGAGGCCAAAACTGGTGTAATGTGCTCTCTTTTACCTGTACTGGTTAAAAATCTGGCTGCAACATTCTGGATCAGTTGTAGTCGTGCAATGGAGGTCTGACTGATACCAAACAGGAGCGAGTTGCAGTAATCGAGCCTGGATGTAATGAATGCATGTATTACTGTCTCCAGGTTATTTTGGGACAATATGGGCTTCAGTTTAAACAGACGCTTCAGCTGGAAGAAAACAGGATCTAACAATCATGTTTACATGACTGTTAAGTTTCAAGGAAGGGTCCGTTATCACTCCCAGATTAGTGACTTATAATCAGGTGCGCCTTATATATGAATTCTGGTTGTGCTTACTGACCTTAAACCAATTTTATGTGGTTATTGTGAACGAGTTGAATAAAGTTTGACTTATCTGACTGTTTTGTTTTGCTTAATGTGCCTTATAGTCTGAAAAATATGGTAAATACCTTGGAGTAATTTTGGATTCCAATCTAAATTTCAAGCAGCATGTAAAAATAATTTCACGTATAATTAAAAAATCTGTCAAACTTCTAACATATAAGACCTTCTCTGTAGATTACTTTGACCAATTTCTTATATCTTTATTGTAATTTAATGTTGTGTTATGTGTTATATAGGTGATGTTTCTATTATTCTCTGCTCTTTGTTTTATGGGATGTTTCTTGTTCTTACCTGCCGTAGGACATCGGATGAAAATTAGCTGTTGTGCTAGCGCCAGCATATTTACATTGATGCTTACCGCTGACACGCTGATTACTGTGCATTGTCCTAAATTAAATAAATAAATAAATGAAATGAAATGAAAGTGCATGCTATTTTAGACAAAAATCTAAATAAAAAAAACAATGATCACCTTTATAATAAAGCTTTTTTTTATGTAACATTGTGTGAACTTCTGCTGACTGAAGAAAATAATTTCAGATTACATTTAAGTTGCATTTCTTTCACACTTGGGTCTTACATTCCTATCTTTTGGATCCAAGTAACAAACCAAGACAGATTGGTTTGTAATCTTGTGAGCAGTACTTGACAACCTTGAAAACAGCTGCAGTCTTATCTAAGTTGATCCAAGTGATCGTACATGATGCAAAATGCCTTACTGTGATCAAGTAAGCCCTGCCTCGACCGCAGCAGATTTCTCCTCTCTTTTGCTGAAAATGAAACATGCTTCTTCCAACACGATGGTCTGCAGGGCACTATCTGTTTGCACATGAAAGATGGCAACAGTTCAGAGTTCCAGCTTCCAAATGGTAGTCGTCCAAAATGACAAAGATTTTTAGAAACATTGTGTTGCCTACACACGCACGCACACACACACACACACATACACACACACACACACACACACACACACACACACACACACACACACA